CCAAGACCATGCTATCCCATTAACGACTATTGTATCATGGCCAACCGGGCCGCCATAAGTCTTCGAGAATATTCCATGGATTTAGCTGAGCTGCGTGGATCCAAACGGTTATCGACTGGGAGATGAACTCCCGATATACTGCTTATTGGCGGTGTGTTGGCAACCAGCCATCTGATGTGTTATGGTCACACCCTGTGCCGCCGGCTATAGCCAGCCTGACTGTTCTATTTGTAATATTATATGATTTTTGAGTGGAAATAATTTCAAGCTTGGTTTTATATACAAACTAGTGATCCTGACTCGGCTTGATACAAGTAGGTACATACACAAAGTACAATACAAGGTACAATGCTGATAAAAAAATTCTCCACTATTTAAATTACATTAGGTATTACACCTATAAAACTTTCTCTTCAATCATTATATCTTTTAAAAACCGCATCAAAATCCGTTGAGTAGTTTTAAATATTTAAGCATTTATAGGGAAATAGGGAGAGATAAAGTAACTATATATGTTTTATACTATGTAGTGATTTTAACAATTTCCTTAACTAAACATTACAAATATTTCTGTTAGTATACAGTCTGCTTTTCTCAAGAATTTAATAAATGGAGCAATTTTAAAGAACGCCCTCATTAAGAAAAGAATTGTAGAAAAGTATACCTAATTTAAAAATGATAAATGAAACAATATTTAAACGAAAACAGTTAACCCAAAACATTAACAATAAAAGTATGACAGATGATAATGTCAAAATTTATTTGCTGCTATTTAAGTTATAATCGTTAAATAACGTTAATAGGAACTTGTAAATAACGACAACGTTATTCGGACAGCACTAGCGCTCGTAAAGTTTACAGCCGCAAGTAAACGGGGGCTGAGAAGTGACTGATATACTTATAATGGGGTGTTTATTGGACAGCCACGTTCATAAAGCATACATAAACTTCATTGACACTCGACATGCCCTTATCTTACAAAACTTTGTTAAAACGACTCCGGTTTTATGACAGCTCATAAAAAGCGTTAAAAACGTTGATTTTTCTTCACACACAAGAAAATGGGGATTAGTTTTATGATATTTCGTAATATAGTCATTAAACGCAATCAAAGTATTTCTCAGAATGATAATATTATTGTCTCGCGTGGGTGATTCGTTGACAATTAGGTAAATCGATATTCGAAATCGATGCGAGCTTTTAACGTTATTATCGATATCATAAATTGTGATACAACGTTATGAATATATTATCGAGATACTCCATCTCTAAATGTTTATAGTTTACATTAAAACAGTTTAGAATATCAAATGAAGCAGGTGAGTTTGTAAGCTAGTGAGTTGGCGTTAACTTTATCAGGATTGTCACAGCGGGTTCAGAGATTAGAGCCCAAGTTATGTTTTGGTTTATTACGTGGTTATTGCTATATTTATGTTAATTAGTCAACTCTACACCGCTGTTTGAGTTTAGTGGATAAACTGTAATTTGAATTAACGTTATGAGTTTAGAACTTTATTTACTTTAGATTAACATCGGTAACAGGTATTTTCTTTCTAAGCGACCTCGTTAGCATCCATTTTGTTATAATATGTATCAGTTACGAACGTTAAGTAAATATAACATTAAGATAGAATCAAAGCAAGTACCTAAACTCGTATAAACATTTCGTATAAAAATATCAATAAACGATTTATTTGCTTGAGATACGATTCTATTAAGTTTATATTTTCCTTGTACCTATTTGTTTTCATGAGATCGCAATTACAGCGCGTCTGCCGTCCGTTCAGTTTATTCACGCGTGCATTTCCCTGGATGCTCGACTAGCCCGCCTAGTGATGGACTCAAGCTATCGATACACACGCGTGGTTTAATTCGAGCACAACCCGACTCATAGAATAAAATATACTACACTCCCGGCCAATAAAACTAGGTCACTCAAAAATCTTATTCTCTCTAAAACTGAAGACTGAATGGAAACCATTTTATAGCATCAGCAGATTTTACTTCTTTATTTTCTTGCAATAACATTTCATAACTTTTAGATGAGTTTTAGATGTTTTCTATTTGAGCACGCTGCGCAGTGAGATGATACGTGATTGATTGAATATTTCGTAGTCTCCGTATGAGGGTAGTTTCTTGAAATTGTGTTTTATTTTCGAACCTAAGATTAAAAGTAGCTTGCAATCGTGGTAATTCTATACTCAATAGTAAGGCAAATGATGCACGTATACATTCGCTTGGGGTTTGAGGAATTAAATAATGTTTTTGGTTTATAAATGTGCGAAAACTTAAGTAAAGCCTTTTAAATTTAAACATAAAAAATCCACGTTATACTAATATTACCTATCTTAATTCAAAATTTTCATTTCAGTTGTTGCTGTAAAAACGTTACGTAGTTGGTACACACTACACGAGGTGTCTGCGAGTAGACTAATAAAGCAATTAAATAAAATCCCAACAGCTCGGTACAAGCAAGCGGTTATCTCGTACGAGGGGTAGGCAGGGATGTAACAGCATTCGGCAAACGGATGGAGTAATTAAAAACTTCCTTCCTACGTATCGCGGGGTGCAGCGCTGTGCCGGTACTGCCGGGACGCGGGGCCACTAACGATTATGACTGTCGTCTGTGTAGCATAGTACATAGAGTAGGTGCAATTTGAACAATTTCCTAAAATATATAGATTGTTTTAATATGTTAAAATCTCCTCTCGCGTTTCACCCCGCCTTGTTGCCTATGTTGCCCGATGTTTTATAGCCTATAGCCTTCCTCGATAAATGGACTAACGAAAATAAAAGAATTTCAATTCGATCCAGTAGTTACGGAGATAAGCGCGTTCAAACAAACTCTTCAGCTTTATATATATTATATAAACTATATGTATATTAGTATAGATTATCAATTTATCAGTAGCAATATGGTGTAATTAACAGCAGATTGTCATGTAGTTCTTTTCTTAAATGTATTATAACGCTAAATACATCTTATAGAGTGACAGGACTTAAAAAACCTCACCATAATTTAATAATATACAATTTACTAAGCAGCGTTATATGTAAACAGAACATGTTCTGATAACTGTATACGTAAGCCTCAGCTGATTATAAATGACGCTAAATGACTCCGAGGGTCAGAATTCAGTTGATCTGAACAAAATATTCGTTACTTTCAGGGGTTTTAAGGATAAAAGGATGTATCCCCGCCGTATCGCGGCCTGCAGCTCTATGGCGGGACCGCTAACGATTATGACTGCCGCATACGACACTGAGTTGGGATTACAAAAGGTTGAGTCTGGACAAGGATCAATATAAAACCACATTTTACAATATTATTTATTCAAAACATGAATTAGAGATATAATACAAAATCATAATATTAATATGCCAAGCGATATTGATTAATGATACGTATAACTACATAAAGAAAATACCATTTGGGCGGCTACACCAAAAGCAAATTTATTGATTGATTTTAATCTGAAATTAATAATATACAGATACAAATATGTACAGCAATATAGTCCACAATAAGAAACACTTGTATAAAAAAACCTTACGAAACCTCACAAACAATAATCTCCAAACCTCCCAAAATATATTTATGCAGAATCCGATCCAATGCACAATCAGTTCCAATAAATTGTGAATCAAAGAGCGACCCTTCTGGTTCAGCTCGCGCGGTGCTCGTCAATACAGCAGTTTAAATGTCCGTCACGCTGTCGGCACGTGTTGTGGGTCGATACCCGTGCCGAACAACTGAACCCTTCTGGAATTTTTATACCTCTGTCGGGTCCCAAACACTCATACTGTTTGTTTAAGGTAGCTTTTATTTCAGGACCTTTTGATGTGTTGTGCGCGACGGCTCTGAATCGTTTGTGGGAGTTCCAACTTGTGTGGCTTACAAATCGACATATTTTCTTGTTCTTTTATCTTAGGGGGGGAACACCGTTTGATTACTAATTTGAGTTTTAACACAATTTACTGATATTTCTGCTCTTAGATTTTGTTATTGGACACAATTTTGCTATCAAATTCAATCTAAAGTTCCACTGTAAATTAACACTTTACGATTCCAACTAACAGACTCCGCAGTGAAGTTTTAAACAAGAGAATTAACCACTTTTACTGAGAAAACGAACTAATAAACCCTCGTGTTCAATTTCAACAATACATAAATTACTTCTTTATAGATCTAACTGCTAATGCACACAATTCTTACTAGCCATTCTCGAATGTATAATTATAGTTAGACATGTAAGCACTACTCATAAAGAAGCAACATAATTTTCCGTAGAAATTACATCGACCAATACTCTATAAATCAAGCAAGGATTGCCTATAAACATGTATTCTCTAAAATAGCCTATTCTCTGAAACTTGTTTAGCCCGAGGAAACTATTTTTTTCAACGTGAGAAGGGTCGAGAGAACTCGATAATATTTTATTTTCAAGATTATGTTAGTGGTAGTAACTTACAGATTTTCAAAGAGATTTTTCTTATTACATTGCAAGGGTCAATGTACTCAGAATGAAACACATTTAACAAATTACTTTTACTCTCACAGTAAGTGTAATTAGAAATGAACAATAGAAACATTAATTAACAAAGTTAATTATGAATATGGTATCCCGGGAGCTAGGCTTATTTATCAGAGAGAAAATCATTTTCTCGGCTTACAATGTCTAACATAACACCACACACGATTCACTGAAACACATCTCTGCAATTTACATCATAACGCGGATAATTGGTTCAAACTGACGTCACACATAGAGAGTCACTATATAATGTCATGCTCTGATAGAAACAATAATATTTCATCCAAGTTCTACACAAAGTTATAGGAAATGAACCTCGATAAAAACGTGATTTATATTCATACATTTTTCAGACTGTTTTATTACTCATGAAAGCCGAGTCAGCTGGTTATTGATTTGGTTTGTTTAACTCTTACTTATTATACATCTTATTACAAAAGTAGGCTATTTTGAACCCAGTTTCAGGTGTAGAAACTATATCATCAAAATATGAAATAAATGAGAGCTCGGAGGTCACGCGTCGTATAAAAGGCACTAAACCAATATCACACATGTTTTTTATATATGGTGTAAAAATCGAGGGGCAGTCTGAGGGTCCCAGGATATATGGTCCAATAAAGCAGGGCTCCAGCCATAAACGTCTACCCGCCACCATCGACCAACTTCACGGTAAATTGCGAAGGGGGATGCTCAGATTTTCCCCTTGAACCACGTTAATAGTTTGTATTATGAAACGTTTTTAGATGTTTATATTTAACGTAGAGGGGCTCAGGAATTGACCGATCGAGTTCTCGCTCCAAGGGGCCATCAAGTTAATTTGAGTGCTCAGAAAATATACATAATATTTTTATAGAAAATATTGATGTAAATTAAGCGACAAGCAATATTTGGGGAAAACTTTATAAATATTATCACAAAATGGAACACGTAGAAACGAGTTTCCTAAAAACAGACATACATGTACATACTCCAATTATACAAAGACAATAACATCGTAAAGTGACTGTGTTGACAATGATACGAACAGTGAGTCATCAGAACTGTTTCGGCAGTACAGTGTTGCCAGCATTTTAATGCGATATTTCGCAACAATAAAAAGTATTTCATTTCCCTTGAAATATGACATCACGGATTGTAGCGCGGGAATCCTGGACTGCACTTTATGACTTCATAAAAATAGTTTTATTTTTTTATTACCTGTGTAACTACATTTGAATTTCAAATGTTACGATTGGATTCGTTGAAATAATGTGAGCCCTGCACACTGGATGTTAACTATGCTTTATGCTGGATCAGTGAACATTCATTAGTTCGTTTTATGGTCCTGTAATACCTTGTCATAAAAAGTCAGTACTTCCAAATTTTTCTTAGATTTCAGTCACAATTAGTATAACTAGGTATATTTGCAGATTTCACTCACTACTCACTCACTAAGTTACTAGCCTAAGTTCCATAAAATTAACCAGCATTTGTTATGTTTTACCATCATAATACTATTGAGTTTTACTTTAAGTGCAGGATAAATTCATAAAAAAAATATGATTATTTGTTCGCTTTCGGATAATGTTAAAGATAATACGTATTTCGTTTGAAGTAATCTATAAGTAGCGTCGAATCTATACCCGGGTCGGGAAATAAGGTCGAACGTTTGGATAGATCGATGCAATTTGGTGTAAGGCCTTCGACGTTCATGTTTCCATTAATTTATGACTCTCATAACATTTTTAGACGACAAAATGAAAAATGTCGACGCCGACATAAATTGTGGCGAGCTCCAATTTGGATAGCCTTGAAAACCCAAGCCCGGTATTTGGTAGTAAATAAAGAAGTTATTAATAAATTATACCTTATCTATTGTTGACATTTACGACTAAACTAAATAATGTAAAGCGACGAGAAATGAAATTCTTCGCTGAAATGAGAAGATAGGGTCCACTACATACAAGGCGGGCGGCGGGCCGGGAGTTATTTCTTCGTCCAAGGAAACTTGTTCAGACAAAAGCAATACACAGACCGGAGATACGAAAGAAACGTAAAATTATTGTATCTTAACGAAATAAATGGAGCAAGTAGCGAATGTGCCGACGATATAGCGCGCCGCCCGGCTTCACCCCTTGTTTTCAACTAAACTTACTCATACGGACAACCGTTTTAGGCCGGGAGCCAAATAGCATTCACAAAATTTCATCGCGAATTACTTTCTTTAGATTTTTTTGGTCTATTGCAAATGTAAAATCTAGACTTTAATTCAAACTTGGATTTATATGAAAACTTGTAGATTTATTTTTAAAGTTTTAGACAAGTTTAAACCTGATGTTCAAGATTTTCTAGAAACATAACACGGAGCTTGTTTTATAGTTAGCTCGAGTGGAAATATTTTGCTCTTTGAATGGTTATTATGACTTTTTAAAACTCAATTACCGGGAATTGGGTCAGCAGCTAGCTCTCTAACAGAACAAAAGTTCACAGTTTAATACCATTTCAAAGTTAATGATGTGAATATTTTTAACGATATGTTCTGAAGTATTTTTATTTTTACTAGAAAATATTTGACAAGTATTCTACAAATCGATAACATGTGTAATTGTAACTCAGTAACACAATAAAATTAATTTAATATTACAACGGTGTTCACTACAATATACATATTATTTATACTCTGCATTTTTAAGAAAGTCTTACTGATAATCAACAAAAATGTAGTTCCCGTCTCCTAGCCTCGGCGAGCTCCCGATAGCATCGCCGATCGCGGCGCCTTTATCAGCCATTTTCCCTTCATATCGGATATTATTTTATACCGTAGCCCCAAGGCTCCTTCACCCTATATTTCACAAACGATGGGAAGCTTGTAAGAGATTGGATCCGTTCGTATCTCAAGTGGAAATTTCGCATACGATAACTTGATGGCCCATTTCCAAGCGATCCAACTCGTATTTATGATTAACTTAGTGTTATTTGCAGGTTTTAAGTGCACTATCCACTTGTTCTTAATGTATTAAAACTGATATGAAACTAGGAGTATATATTTGATAAAGTATTTTATATTTTCTACGTACAGCTTCATCTAGTATCAATGTGGTTAAACATCTTAATTTACCTACTTCAAACTTTTCTATTTTTAAGCTATCCAATTAATAAATAAATTAAAATAACTACTTTGTTTTATTATTAAGTTACTGCAATAACATAAATGTATTTAAATAGGTATACATTTTGAAGTATTGTGATTTTATTAAGGAACTGGCCACTAACTTAAATTAAATTTTCATACAAAATGTTTACGATTTCAGAATCCAATCTCGTGTCGCACATCGACGAGTCCGTTCTTTTATAACTTGAACAAATCACAACAGAGCCGACACACACACAATTTTCCGAAACCGCGCGTTTCACAGCAATTTGATTCCGTATATTTGTCAGTCTGTCGGTACGCTATGTAAGCGCCAGACATTGATTCGACCGTTTTTCGTAATTTAATTTGTGTAACCCCCCGCCGCGGCCGGTCCCGACCACCCGTGGGTCCCCGGTTCATCCCGACACGGTTTGGGCGTAACTTCGATTCGGATCTCCACGATACTGTCACATATTAGACACGCTGTCAGCTTTACTCCAAATTATGTACTGTTAATACCAAGATTTTATGCTCGATATGATTTGAGAATGGATGTAACAAGTCCGTGTTCTTGTTTGTTGAGTCACTCCGTAATATGCTGGGCGTTGCACTACAAGCGTTAAGTAATGTATTGTTGTCTATGCGATCTGGAACAAAACAACTTTACTATTGTGTTTATAAGTAAACAAGCCCATTTGTATTCAGCTGTATGTTGCACACAAATTCGAATGAATACCTCAATAAGTTGTCTGTACGTCGTACACAAAGAGCATTGTCTTACCCACATAAATGTTAGCGTCAAGCGAATGCAATCCAATCTTTTTAGCTACAAAAAGGGTTGAATCTGCGCCATTTCACTGTTTCCATTCTAAACAGACAGCGGGCACGTCGGCATGGCAGAGGTCCAACGAACCCCGTTGTACTTTTTACCAGGGAATCTTTTTACGGGCGCAGCCGAAGGGTTGGTGTATTTAAAGGATTGCTGGAGCGGTCCGGTGCTTATTAAAGTGGTGTAAGCCTCTTGTTATTTTTTCATAAATTTTTCGTTGTTTTTAGTATAGACCTACTTCGGGAATATGAATATTTACAATTTTGTTTTATAACTTTTTGTGAGTTCTCCGTCGAAACGGCTTAACTTGTATTTATTCAGAGATATCTGTTTTTGTTAAAGTCAAGGGTTTTCCTGGCTGACCTGTATTTAAAAGAAAAATATTTATATACGGTGCGAACAATGGCTGGCATACTAAAAGCAAAATTTCGAAATCCTTTATTTAACAAATTAAAAACCCTCCAGTACCTACGTAACATCGCCTTGCTATTCTCTTGGAATCGCCTAATTTTGTACTCTGATCTCATAGATTCTTAATGAACAAAATATTGGAGAGGCAATATTTAAGTTAGGTCTCACCTCTCCTCTTCACTCCCGAGGTCACACAGTCTACTCCGAATATTTGGGCACACTTCCAATGCCTATAATTTTAAATGCAAATGAAGTAAGACATTAATTGAACCGAAAAATGGCAGTAGTTCATTAGCAGTAACTTCAATTATAATTTTACGAGCGAAACTTGTAAATCATCAATCATAATTACATTAAGGAATTACTCGTAATTGTCAGCTCCTTACTTTTGAGATGGACGCTGTAATTTGATTGCTCACTTTGCACAAAAAATAATCACCTTCGTCGACCTTCATCCTGGAATATTTTATCTTACAAAGGTTCCTACTGTAGTCATTATATACTGAATCTCGAGATATATCGTGGGATACTGTTTCTTTGGAAGCTACAAATGATCTTTTTCAGCAGCCTATGTCTTACGACTTCCCCAAGATGAATGGTTGTTATAATGTTTTTCTTTGTCTCGTCAGCGGAGAATCAGTGCGGCGGCTAATGTTCGTAATATTGTTGCTGAGACAAATTCACACAACACATGTTAGGAGTTATGCTATCCTAGTACTCGCACTCGCGGTGCGGACTACATATTCGAATTGATTTTCTGTTGTGCCCAAATTGAAAAAACCTTTTTTTGTTAAATCGACGTTCCATTTAAAAAAGTAAATTTTTATTGTGAATTATTTATTGGAAATGGAAAAGTTTTATCACAAAATACGCGTTCTTTGATGCCCTTTTGTAAAATAAAAATTGCTGACAGAATTTATTGTGAAAATTCTGTTTTCAGATAAAAATACAAATTATATAGGCAAGCTAAAGCGAAAAGGACATGGCCAACTTTTGTATGGGCGTTTGCATAGTTATTGAATTCAATGTACATCAATGATTTTTGGTGTTTACATTCGTGAATATTATTAAATTAAATTGCAAAAAATAAAACACATGAAGAACTCGTAATTATAACAAACAAGACGAAAATAGTTTCACTAAACCTTTAGTCAGATTACTGGCCATAAGTGCATGAAATAAGATTTTGCTTTTAAAAACCATGGCGTTTCAATTATTTATTTATAAAATAAAACTAAAGAATATGTATAAAGAATAATGATTTATTTATTAAGGAGAACAAATAAAATAAAACTACGTAATAATTCACTTTTATATTTTTATTATAAAGTGTATTTTATTATGTTTGTGTATGGAATGTACGTTTCTTTAATATATATTCTGTATAATTGGGTAATAATATGGTAGTACTTTCCATTTGAAGCGGCCTGCTTAAAACAGGTGGTATTGGTGGTGGCTCTGGTGGGCTAACCACTTGGATATAAGGGGCTACTGCATTGTTGTCCGAACCCAATTCCTGCAAGTTTCGTGATAAGTCCTGCACTGTCTGTCTATTTGCCTGCATTACAGCACACATGACAAACATAGTTGCTTCTTGAGGTCTGAAAAAATAAACCCCAGTTAGAATAAACACATGTTTTCAAGTTTTATGTTATTGTACAGTGAGAAGTATTATGTTACAACATGCCTATTTTAAAGAAGTCTATGCAAACATGGAAAATACATAAAGATAGATATTATAATCACACATACCTACTATGAGTACTTTTTTTATAGATTAATATAGATAAATACAAGTACATATATAAAACAATGAATAAAAAACAAAATGTTTACCACATTAATAGTATTTTGTGATATTAGGCCAGCTAGCAATGGAGAGTCCATACTGACATTATGGTGTCTTATTTTTCGAACCGATTTTCCACAACCAAGGCAAGCCATGTTATGCCCCAGTAGTCTCTCATGTTCACCAGCCTCAGTATTCAATAATAAGAAGCGTAGTTGACAAATGAATGTCCTCAGAGGCAACTAAAAAAAAGATGCACTATTTAAAATCGCATACCATGATAAAACATAAAAAAACAGACTAAGTATTATACTATTCCGAATTCATACCTGGGTTTGAGCTGGTTAACCAACGTGAAAGTTTTGTTTGATGGTGTGCAGAAAGCGAGGATATAAGACGCCTCTGCAGCCTTTGTACGCCTATTCCGCAGTTGATGCACCTCATCGTAATCCACAAAACAAATCCAAAACGCATAACAGTTACTCCAGTATTATTAGCAAGGTTAACAAAAACACGCTGTCAAAAGTGTTAAACACGTTCCGTTTCGTTTAAGTTTATTTTTTTTTGGTGAATTGGATAAAAATAAAACATAACATTATTATAATATGAGTATTTTTTAAAATGCAACTAAAACCAATGAATACAGTTTCGTATGAATAAAATGTTCTTAGTGTAATGCATTTGTCGATCATATCACACATTTTCTATGAGTGTAGTTTAAGACACGTGGTTTGGAATTGGAACGTCTTTTTATTTATCTTTCTCTATGGACTATTATGGCGAAACTTGACAAACGAAGTTGATTTTGTTGCATTACTTTTACATTTTTTTAATAATAATTGTCAGGTCTGGAGAGGCTAAAAACTACGTAATAATTCATATTTCTATTTGTATTTTACAGTGTATTAATTTTGTTCGTGTACGTGGAATGTACTTTTTTGGCCATGTCCTTTATTTTTATTTTAAAGAGAAATGTTTTTTGCATAAATATACGGAGAAGCTCTTATATCCCTACACGAGTATCGAACACAGACACGGTACCACAAGCACTGCCACCAAGGTTTGGGGGAAAAACTTGCGTTATATGAAAGTTGGCGCGAACTTGCCAATGCTGGCACACGTGCACTTTATGGTAGCGACGAGACTGTCATTTTTTCCGTAGAATGCACGCCCCTTCATGAATATCAGGCCCCGAGCACTTGCTAACTTAACAAAAGACAAGGTTTTTTTAAATTTTTCTCGAGTATGTGACTTCATTAAGATGTAACCGAGCTGCAGAGCCGTAACGAGGTAAGTTCCTGAGATATTGTCCTGCACACGAATATAATATTTATCTGAATGAGTTCCATTGCCGTCGCCAGAAACTTTCTCCCTTGTGGTTCAAAAACTTTGGTCTTAATTCATTTTGAAATTTATTTATTGCTCGTATAAGATTTATGCCAGGAATCGTTCCTGACACTGGAGCCTACGTCGTCGTTGAAAAATATCAGTACAGAGAGCGCAGAGATGCTAGATTTTTGTACATAATTATGAACTCGAAATGTTCCAACATATATTCTTCAGACATGAATCAAGTTTCGCAATAAAATTGGTAATCGATTTATTGGTCCTATTTGCGATGCCGCCGGCAAACAATCCCAACTTTCTTCATACAAACTCCATACAAACTTCATGCAAACTTTGCCGACACCTATTTAAAAGTTTTTTTTTCGAATATGTTCTGTACACGTGTCGCCGACAACTTTGTTGATGACACTTTGATGGATTTCTGAATTGTTTTACTTTCATAAAAGAAATATATGTGTGATAGAAGAAAATGCATCGACCATGATTTTATATAAACATTTGACCTAAAACTTTAAGGATTACAGAGTAGGTATGTTACTAAGTTGGTAAGTTAAAACCACATAGGGCAAACGATTCTGTTTATGTTTTGTGGGCCTACACTTAAATTAAGCATTAAGAATAAAATTATACTTAAAATGACCCTAGAGAGACTTCGAATCGTGACGCAACTGTATAATTAATGTTTAATGTTCGTTTAGAGTTTTTCCATTATCAATGATTCGGTTAAAGTGGTGAAGGAGTTCTGTGGCTCTTTAACATTAAGCGTAGTGGCATAAAGGTACACTTTACATCATTAACATAAAGATCCATAGAAGGCAATGTAACACGATCCCGACTGCGGCTAAC